AACTACTTTTTGGCTTCATTGTATACAAGTGTTATTTCCTATTTTATGGTGCGTTGAGGTCTGTTTGTTTGATATATAAACCCAGTATGTCTGAAATAAATGATTCGATTCGATTCGCATAGTGGAAGCTGGTATTTAATGTTCTGGACTCAAGTGAACGTGCTAGGAGGACATAGGATCAATAAGGACGCTATGTTGCTCATACCTGTCGAACGTCATTGGTTTTGGCACAGTGCTAAGATTGTATAAGTCGTACTTTGATTGTTGGATAAATCACATGATAACTAGCCGGACATAAACTCATAATACCTCTACCATTTCTACTAGTCTCTAAATAATAACAATTTTTGTTGTTGTTGTTGTTGCTGTTGTTGCTGTTGTTGTTGTTGTTGTTGTTGTTGTTGTTGTTGTTGGATTCTCGTTCACATTGTATGATCTAGAAAGTCTTGATGACCTTTTTCTTCAAGTTGACTGTTAATTTAATTGATCCAACAATTAATCTATGAGTAATCACTCAACATATAACAGTAAAATATCACTACGAAAATCTCTTTTCAATAAACAGTAAACATCAATGAGTTCAAGTTGTTCTCCTGTATCTTTACAAAACCTTTACAAATAAACTGATTGAGGCGTCCCACAATAGAAAGAAACGACTATTTAGTTGTTATAACTTATGACCGCCGATTATAGGGCAGCGAATTATCGATCGGAACAGTGACGCGCAAAACAAGTACAGGCAGTCTAGAGTTCTGATTGGTCCTGCTTCCCTGTCTACCCCAGCCAGTTAAGTCCAGAACAACAATATCGAGCCTCTGTGATATGAATCATTATATTTCAAACATACTGAGTTTATATACCAATCAAACAGACTACAACGTACCAATAAAATAGGAACCAGAATTTGTACAAGATTTAGCCAAAGTGGCCGTGAATTTGTGAAGTAGTGATTAACAGACTGGGTATAATTCAAAAATGGTAGATCGTATAATAATAGTTCATAGGTCAAATTGAAGCTTATGATAAGAGCGATATGAATACGAATAGTTTAGTTATTTAACAATTATACGATAAAAATATACTCATAATATTGGTCCATAAAAAGATCCCAAAGTTACCATTCATTATGTTTTTCGGATCCTAACATCAATATGTTCATGTTTTCCATGGTGATCTAGTTTGAATTGCCTAATGATCTCAACTATTAAAATTTCTAATAATATCCACAAAAACCCCTTCTGACAAGCAAACAAAAATTGTTTGTTTTTTCATTTATAGAAATCTTCCCTTGATAAATAAATAAAATAAAAATTATCCACAAAACCAATTGGAGCTATTCACATGTGATAGTTTAATGTCAATGAACATTGTACATTGAAAGCTTCAATCAAACTATAATATTGATGAACGTTTGAAGTATTCATTGCAAATAGACAAATATTCAATGATGATAGTAATAATAATCACATGGCTTCTTCTTCTTCTTCTTTATTAAATTCAGTTTATCTGAAAGGGACATTCAAATGATTTGATTATAATAAAGGTCAGATCATGTTTTCTTGTCAGATCATATGATGAATAGAATGAATATGTTATTAGATGAATTTCAATTGAATTCATCTTTATATGAAGTGACAATTCTTTATTGAATTGACCTACTTAAATATTTATAAGTAGTATAATTATTTTCAAATATTTTGCAATGAAACAGTTCTTATGTAATTGTCAGTTCAATAATTGAACTATAGCATTTTATGACCAGTAACATGCAATAAAACATGGTTAAAAGTCATTGACCATGTGGGGCCCTTTATTTTGTCGTCATTAAGATCGGACGATGTTGTCGAAAGGGCTCTCCACTTTAGTGGATTTGACTCCAAAAAGATCGTATGAATGTTTATTATCGCCTATCCCCGTATGTAATCATCGACTTTAATCGCGTTAGTCAATAACGGAATTAAATAAGTCAAGTAACGAGAATTGAATTTTGAGTACATATATTTTGTATATCAAGCGAATGGAATAGAGAGAAGAGAAAGGACGCAAAGTGGAGATGGCTGGTAGGCCAACTCCCGTTTAACCAGCGTTAATCAATAACTATAGTTACACAAAAGTAAGTTACAGACATGTGATGAATAATGGGATAAAAAATGCATACACATCTACGCACTCATATAAAAACAGTCAAGACTGATAAGCGAATAAATAACAAGGTCAGAATGTGACTGAAGTAGAATGAGTAGAATGGGCTGTCCGAAAGCTAGAATAGGGCATATGGGCTTAACATAACAACCGACACTACAACCATTTAGCTGTTACGTATAATCTACCTATAAGACCGACTTTGAAGGAGAACCAACATCCATAACCATTAGCCTATCTAATTTATTATAAACAGGATACTTGAAGAAAAATACCTTCGTATAGATAAAGAAGTTGTCAGATGTTCCCAATGTCACTTCATTCTGTACAAAGATTAAATATAAAAGCCATTGTTTTACGATGGCTTAGGGATAATGAATGTCGTAACCTAAGTTAGTGGTTTAGTCCCAAGTGATAAATGGATTATATATACATAGTAATCCAGTTGCCTAGTGATTATAAAACACAACTATAATTAATAATAACTCGAAACATCAGTTCCAGATTAATGTTTGTTCTGTTATAACATAAATTGCCATAAACAGTAGAGCCCTCGTTTACCAAAATATACTACATGTCTATTTTGATGTCATAAAGAAGGTCTCAGGAATTGACATCTATTATTCTACATAAGACCAACTCATAAGGGGTTAGAAAGGGTAGACCCTAAAAATGTCACACCTCACCTTACCTCACGGATTTTCGTCTCTTTGAAGAAAGAAGCTAACAAGTTAAAAGCTCCCACAAATAGGCCGTGCGCGACCGGCCTCAAGCAGTTGTCCCTTGGGCTCTATGGTAACGCTCCCAGGTCGTTAAGACTAACACTAGTCAAACTTCTTTTTCAGATTCCTCAAGAAATACCCTTCCATGGTGTGGGCAGCCGGGGAGTGACATCAGCCCTCATAACCGTAACAGCACACGAACTGTTGAAAATGACATTTTCATTCTATTAAACATTTGATCAAAATGTAATTGTATTTAGAAACAATTAAATAGGATTGTATAGTTTTTTTTTAAAAATTTTTGCTTAGTAACAAAAACAAACAAAAATGTTTCATCAATATGTAATGTGTACACATATAGCTACTAATTTAGCTCAATTAATAATTTGTATACAAATATTTACATAAAAGTAATTTCAAAATAAACAAATATATATCATAGTACAAATTAGTGATAAACTATATCACAACAGTAAATTGATACTGAACATTGAACGGAAAATATACGCATGCTGATTAAAGAAAAAGGAATGAAACATTGTAGAATATGATGGATATTTAAAGAAATGTTAAACCAAACAGTAAGTTCAATAGTTGGGATCATGAGTCAATTGAAGCTAGACCACTATTAGAGACCTGAAGGCACTAAACGGCCGTTTCGTCCTTATGTGGAACTCCTCGGCAGTGCGAACCCACTACCTCCTCCGCGAGATTTGTGCTCGCGCGCGATACTGACAGGTCCTGGGTTCAAATCTCGCGGAACGAGAACGTGAAAGCACACCACCGACGAGTCCCACAATAGGACGAAATGGCCGTCCAGTGCTTCCATGCTTTCAACGGCGATCTAGCATCGATTGAATCATGATCTCAAGTATGGAAGATAGAAAGTACTGATTGTGTATTTCTTGTTTTACATTATACGTGCACTCAAAATCTAAGAAATTTAGTAGGTGAGTAAAGCATATTCCACCCCCTTATCCTTTAAGTCTTCTTGATATTCAACATACTGTAAATCATTGACCTATTTCCGATTATGTAACAATGATTTAAGCCTTTATTATTCTTATCAAAAACTAGTGTACTTGTTATCACACTACCAATTTGTACTTTTCACTTATTATGTAATCGTTTTCTTTGTTATCATTGACTTATAAACTACCTTGATTGGTATGCATATAAATATTACTGTATATTAGAGTAAAGTCTGATGACGATCTAATCGAAAACAATATTATTCACTTATATCTATGTTGTTCTAAATTTACAATACGGGAACTTTTCAAACATTCAGTAACAGTCAAAAATAATACAACTAACTGATATGATTAGCCTGACCACGTCGTAATATATTTCCATACCAAAAGTCCGACACAATCCAACAACAATGAACAATTAATAATAAGTAATAATAATTATAAGGATAGGGGAATATATAACTCATCTGACACTTATCAGACAATCTACATGTCTGACTAAGCAGACAACCAAACATTATCATCCTCGCCCACACATGTTCTTGATCTGAGTTGTGTTGAAGTCCTGTAGAATAGATTCTAGAAGGGAATCTACTGTAGATATTAGTCTAAGGTAAATTAACATCCCATTCGTGCATTCGTGTAAACTTAGAAATCCAACCGTTATAACAACATTAGACGAAGTAAAACCGAGCGTTATAACACTAACATTTTAGATATTGATATGACTAATAACTTCTTTTCAACTATGTCTATTGATTCTCTCTAACAGATATATACTACTTAAAAAACACATCTTAGACAAATCTTCTTATCATTAGTATTCAAAAACTGTTACCAGTTTCCATTGATCAAATGTGACAAAGTTGACAGCATATATTGAATTTATTATAATGTAATTTATTGGATTTCTATTCAATGGTTCAAAGTCTTGGAGCTTACCACAAATTCTGAAATCTTTGGATTCTATGATCTTTTAAATTGTAGATTTGCTTCACTATGAAATCTCACATTTGGATGAAACAAATATTTAATGCTCTCTATTTTTCAGTAGCTTTCTGCTGGGTCTGTGAACGGAAACAAAAACTTGTGAATAAAGGCCAATAAACTAGTGATTCTATTGCATACCAGCCCCCCTCTTTACTAGAGAGAGAATTCGAAGTTCGAACGAGGAAGTATATTTCACAAAAAGCCAAAAACATGAGCGATAACAACAGACATAAATCAAAACGTATATATATATACAGCACAAAACCGTCCTTGGGAAGCGTCACAAAATAACATACTCAAGGACACAACGGCCCAATAGCATTTAAGATTCTCTCAAGTGGGAAATACGACACAAAGGTGAAAAGAGTACTATTAGCGCAAAAACTAAGAAATTCAAATTTTCAACATGAAATTACAAAATTAGATCCCATTTTCAAGTGAGTTGTGGAGATCTCACGTCCTTAACTTGATAAAAGTACAAGAATATGAATTAATTGTATTCTATTGATTTCTAGCCGGTTGATTAGAACGTATAATAATAATTTTATTCTCTGTTCGATTTGTTTTCGGTAATGAATTCGTTTGTGAACCAATTGCTTCAGTATATGTAGGTGGATAAACTTGATTCAATACTTTAGATGAATTACTAGTAGTAAATACATTTTCATTTGGAAGTGATTTTGGTAAACTATTCACTTTTATATGTAAACAATCATCATGATGTAATTGTTTAGTTTGCATATATTCTAAAGCCCTTAGAATATCTTTTACATCTGTTATAATACAATTATGAAATCCATCTAAAGAAAAAGTGGACAAAAAGTATTATGTAATCCATTTTGTATGAACATTTGTCTATCAAAAGATTATATTGTGAAAAAATTTGATTGATGTTAGATCACTATTGAAAATCTGGAAGCACTGAACGGCCGTTTCGTCTTAGTATGAGACTCCTCAGTGGTATGCATTCACGATCCTGCTCGCGAGGTTCGAACCCTTGGCGTTCGTGTGCGAGATCGTTAGGTCGTGAATGACTTCAACTACTAAATTACTAAAAAATTCTCCAAAAAAAACACATTTCTGATTGGAATCAGTTATGTTATTTGTTGTCAAAAATTGGTCATCGTAGACAAATTTATAATACATATCCAACTATATTAAAGTATAATGATAAAGTATCCGATATTGATGCTTTCAAATAGCCTAATATGGCTGAAAGTGCGGACAGTCATCCCTTCATCTCGAAATTGTCTCACATGTCCACGTGCATATAACCACTGATAGGGAAATCCTACTCACTGCCTTCTCGCACAACTGGTGTTGTTTACGAAATTGAGAGGATGAGAAGCGAATGTCTGGTGCTTTAACCGGGTTGATGGATATGGGGAGTCCATCTAGCGGAGTTGGAAGACCCTCATCCCAAACTAATGGTGCACATGGACTGGCTCCATGATCCTGAGGGAACAAATGGTGTATGAACATATTGTTGGTCATCGGCCACTAGGGGAATGCATCTTTCGTAGTTGCTCCACTGCCTTGTGGATCAGACATTTAGGTCGAAGGCTCAGAGTGTGCCCCCTTAAGAAGACCACCAGCTTCGGTTTGGACACCCGTGTAGTATCTCATCCCTAACACATATCGAATGATTTATGTGGCGCATATCTATTTGGTGCATCCTTCTACCAATATTTATGTGTTTGAATAAATAAATAAATAAATCCGTTAATGACAATAAATCTGGGCTAACAATGAGACTTATCATCTCATTAACAATGGGATTTATGTACAATCAACTGACCAGTCCCATAGACGATTAAACCAGGGACGTAAATTAAACTGCTTGTCTCTTTGTAAAATTTATTCAACTTGTACATACAAACATCATTTAAGTATTCATTTAAAGAACTCGTATACAAACGAAGATCAATCATATTTATTCTTAGAAACCACTACCGATTTCAGTCGTTTGATCAATATTGTAGGTCCTTTTTGTACTTGCTTATTATAAAATACTAGGAAAATATAATATATTGTTATGTCCCGATAAGCATAATCGATGGCAACTTTTGGGATCCATTTATGGACGAATACTATACGTATATTTCTATCGTATAATTGTTATGTAACTAAACTGTTCATATTCATGTCCCTCTTGTTGTGAGCTTTATTTTGACCTATGAACTATTATTATACGATTTACCATTCATGAACTATTCCCTGTCTGTTAATCGCTACCTTCCTCATTCACACCACATCTGGCTAATTCTTGTACAAATGTTGTTTCTTATTTTATTGGTACGTTGTGGTCTGTTTGTTTGGTATATAAACTCAGTATGTTTGAAATATAATGATTCATATTGCAGAGGCTCGGATTGTTGTTCTGGACTTAACTGTCTGGGTTAGCTGGAAAGTAGGACGAATCAGGAGTCTAGACTGCTCGTACGGGTTTTACACATCCTTGATCCGATCGATAATTCGCTCTTCTGTAATTGGCTTCATCATTACGTTAGACATTAACAGGACACACAGGTCACAAGTTATAATATATATATCTATGTCATAATTTCAAGTTTTCCTCTAAGCGTATACAACATTCGAAGTTATTAATACTAATTAAACGAATATCGGTTATTTAATGGTTGACTTTATGAATCAATTAAAGCTAGACTACCATAGAAAAACCTGAAAGAACTGGACGGCCCTTTCGTCCTGATATAGAACTCTTCAGCAGTGCATATCCACGATCCTGCTCGCGAGGTTCAAATCCAATACTTATCAGTCTCGTAAGCAAACGCCTAGGGTTCGAATCCCGTAAGCAGAATCATGGATCCACATTGCTCACCAGTTCCATACTACGACGAGATAGTCATCCAGTGCTTCCGAGTTTTTATGTTGGTCTAACTTTAATCAACCCATAAATTCAACTAATAATAATCATATACAATCATATTGTAATATCAACACAAAACTATAATACATATTCAACTATCATAATATATAATGATACTTACCATTCCATGTTAATGTAAAACCAGAATATTGTTTATGTGTTATTTCATGTAATTTTTTTATTAATTTATTCCAATCCATATTTTTAAATAATGACCATTGTAAACGATAAGTAATTGGAATAGAACATTCTGGATTATAAATAAAAAACTTTATTGCTAACATTGTGTTTACTTGACGAGATTTTTCTCTGTATAAAGATAAAAAACAAAAAAAAACTAGTATCAGTAAGGGTTTAACTCCAACTGGAGTCCCTCCGGGGGGGGGGGTACTACCGGTCCAAAGCCCGGATAAATGAGGAGAATTGGGCATGGGGTTAACGACCCCATCCCGTAGAAAACTAACTCGCTATAAAAAAAAAACGCTAACCAGAAATAAAATTATTAAAAGTAAGGGTTTGGTGCAGAATGTAGTAATTTCAATAATTGAAATCATGAATCAATAATCTAGTGATTAAGTGCACATATGCTAGACTGATAAATCCTCGATTCGAGTCTTTCGAGATGGGATCATGGATGAACATTCGAAAGGAGAAGTTCCACAATAGGATGAAACCGATATCTAGTACATCAAGGTTTTCCATGTGAGTCTAGCTTCAATTGATTCATGATCTCAACTATTAAAAAATTAATTATCAAAATAGAAGATGATGTTTACTTTTTTCTAAAATCTAACTTATTAGAAGTGATTGTAACTAATGATCCAGATAATGGTAATTTCATTGATTTGATACTATGATTGGATTGGTTAATTACAATAACCTTGAGTGAAGGTCAACACTTTCAATTTAAAACGAATCGTAACCAGGTGAAAATGATAATGCAAATCAACTCCATTATGCATCTATATATATATATATATATATATATATATGCTCATATTGATCATGTATTGTTTCCTTTTTCTTGTCATTGATACCTTGAATAAATAATTCATAATGTGTAGGTTTGTACATAACTCTTTATGTTTGTTTAATGGAAACAACTAATTGACTTTTGTAGATTCATTTCATAGGTGATTTAATTTATGTATTTGTTGAAGCATCTATTTGATTTATAATAAAAAAGGTCTATGTTGAATCGACTTGTAACAAGTTAATGCAAACATTCATTAGTAATAATGCAACTTTTAAATCATTTACCAGTTAAGAGAATCACAGAATCCTAAATGTTTGAGAGTGAGGAGAGTCAGCTCTCTCTTTCTCTTTATCTCTCTATCTCTCTCTAGAAATGCCCTCACATGACCACATGCATATAACCATGGAGAGGGAAGTCCTACTCATTGCATTCTTGCACCACGGATGTTGTTTACGAAATTAAGAGGATAAAAAGCGAATGTTTGGTGCTTTAATCGACTTGGTGGATATGGAGAGTCCACTTAGGGAAGATGGAAAACCTTAATTCCAAACAATGGTGCACATAGGCTGGCTCTAGAATTGTAAGGACCCGAGAAAAATAATGAACGGTAATTTTAGGATCCTTTTATGGACCAATACTAAACGTATATTTTTATTGTATAATTATGCTATGATGGAAAGAAAAGTCAATTTTCGATTGAATTACTCATGATGAGTATTGTTCAACATTCAACATCCGTTTTGATTCAACGTGAGGATCATTCAGTGTAGTATTTGATTTGTTTTCCCAGTATGATATTTTCTTCTGTATAATATACGATATTCTTGTATTCACTTGACATGAACTATGCTCAGTAAGTGATTTGTTATAACTGAGTATGTGATTTAATCCTAATTAATAATCAAAATGGGTGTACAATCAATATATAAACCAGTGTATTTTAGACTATTATGATTCGTCGGGACCTTCTATCGCAGAATGATGAGCTTTGTTTGGTGAAGCTGCATTCGGTATACTGCACGATTTGTTTTCTGATTCATGGGCGGTTACTGCGACAATTCCATGAACATTAAACAGGATATCTTTTTGTGAGCTGGATATGTCAATGTTTGTATATTGTGTTTCGGGGACAATCGGATTTGAACGCACGACAGGGCATGTCTCTGAAATTGACATTTCTGGATCACTAGGCACATCATGAATGACTGCTATTTTGTTTGAAGTACGGTTTATCGGGGATTCATGAAGGTTGCGATCATTTTCCAGCTCAGTGTGCAATTGAGAAATTAATCTATCCAACAACACCTAGTGATATGCTACCACAGCAGAAGTCCCCGGCACAGATCCTGATGGGAAGGAAATTGAGGACGATCCACAGTCTTATAAGCCCAACAACCACACCACCACCATCGCAGACCAAATCTCAGAAGCTGCCAGCGTACAAGGTTGGATGCCTGGTGTTCGATCGAGACTACTGAGCAAGTCATGGTTCTTGGATCGAAGCACGTGTGGTTGGAAAACTAGGCTAAGGTATTTACGAGGTAAAGGTGGGAAGAGACACGTGGACTAGACACCGAAACCAACTACGGGGGCGGATAGCCCCAGACCGCCCATCAACTGGAGTAAATCTTACCCTTGATATCCTGCTTGATACCTTCAACTTACCAGCAGCCCCACCACGAGAAGAAGCTCAACAACAAGCTGATCCCCGTCCCAGAAGGTGGCCTCTCCGACAGCGGCGGGCAACAGTCGAGATGCAAGTCGACCCCAGGAAAGTACGCTCTTAAAAAGGGGAGGAGTGTTGGGGACGATAGATCCCCAAAACTCATATTTTGTGATTTTATCTTATCGGTTTATTTATCGATTAAATGTTTAAACATTTATTCGATTAGTTCATCAATTGACTGCCATTCAAATATTTAAACATTTAATCGATAAGTTAATCGATAAGATAAAATTACAAAATATGAGTTTTGGGGATCTATCGTCCCCAACACTCCTCCCCTTTTTAATAGCGTACTTTCCTGGGGTCGACTTGCATCTTGACTGTCGTCCGCCGCTGTCGGAGAGGTCACCTTCTAGAACGGAGATCAGCTTGTTGTTGAGCTTCTTCTCGTGTTCGTCGTCATAATGTTTCGGGACTAATAAATCTTCACTTATACCAGTCTTTGTGTTCTTACTTTCGCATCGTGGGAATTGCCGAGGTCCCTCATTCCGAGTATAAGTGATCAGCGTTTTTCCGTCACAGCAGTCAGCGACGACCAGATATTACAATTGCGGCAACAGAATAAAACAAGAATCCTGAAGGAACAAATGGCGTATGAACATAATGTTGGTCACCGGCTACTATGGGAATGCATCTTCTGACGTTACTCCACTGCCTTGTGGATCAGACATTTAGATCGAAGGCTCCGTGTGTGCCCCCTTAAGAAGACCACCTGATTGGGTTTGGGCACGTGAGCAGTATTTCATCCCTCACACAAATCAAATGATTTATGTGGCGCATATCTCCTCTTTGGTGCTTCTTTGTACCAATGTTTTGTGTTGAAATAAATTAAATACATATAACTTAGAAGTGATCAAAAATATTTATTTTTAATCTTTTAATTTTAACTGTATTCTATCAATTAATTTGTCTATTTTATGAGTATCTGTTGAAAGCATATGTGGAGCATTTAATATTTTATTCTATTTACCTTTGAGAATACTTTCATCGTTAACTATTTCGAGTATCGATCAGTGATTATGAGCAGACAAGATGGTGGTTGGAAGAAGTCAACAGGAAACCCTCGAACAAGGTTTCGTGCTACCTGAGACTTGTCAGCAAAGTACATCTGAAATCTTAAGCGGACTAATGCTCCCTGACAAATTCGATCCCGTGTCACTCAGCTGACCTCCTGTAGGTATGAGATGTATTTACAATTGATTGATCACCACTCAGTGATAAATCAGTTGTGATTGTAACCAATTATGATTGTTAAAATGACGAATTATTTTCTAATTCACAATAACTAAATATTTACCATTCTTTTATTAAGTCATTTCGAGAACTATGTATAAGAAGGTATTATCAACTTTAAATTAATACTTTCTACATATATTTACCAACATTTATTATTATGGTCATTAATATAAGTTAAAATATGACCAGTGCAGTGAACAGTTCTGTTATGACATAGTAACTCACCGAAGACAATGGTGGATGATTGCGCAATATCGTGTATTGGTTGAAGTTAGACAATAACACTGTTGGATGCTGGCTCAGTGATCTAGATAATAAACGTTCACGCACGAGACCGAAGGTCCTGGGTTTGAGTTGGGTATGCAGGATCATCGATACGCACTGCTCATCAGTGACACACTACGACGAAACGGTCGTCCAGTGTTACCAGGTTTTCCATGGTAATCTAGGTTTAATTGACTCACGAACTCAACTATTAAATTACTATAATATCGACAAAATCCCCTTTCTGATAATAAAATATAAATTGTAAAAATGTCGAAATATCTTTTTCTCAAACTGAAACCAGGGAATAACATTACTCTTAAATACTAAATCTTTAAATCCGGTCTGATCATATCTTGATGGGGATAATCATTTACATCATTAGAATTACGACAATAATATATTTCTTCAGAACCATTTATTGTACTTACAAACTATTCAGTAGTAAAGCAATATAACTAAAATATAATGAAATAAACTAGGGAAATGTATAAGATCCAATAAAAATACTCACTTTTGGGTTATTTCTACAGATAATACTGAAATATTTCTTACAATATGACATCGTTTGTGTTATACATTTTTCAATAAACATCTCTTCTGTAATATCATCAAGAAGGTGGTTTGTGGAGATTATTGAATTTGATAGTACTCAACCCTAAGATATCCAATGATTACTATTCCTAGGTTATATTAATCCTCAATATTGCGTAACCGTTGGTGATTAGTTAACTAACACCCAACAGTGGTGTGCTCCTGATATCGATCTTCTGTGGTAGAGTCTTAGATATGGTCTATTGTAGAATTTTATACTATGACAAAATAAATGTTCAGTATATAGAAAAATAATGACAACTATGGCATATCAACCATTATATGTGATACTTATTTATAAATTAATTATTCGCTTATCAACCTTTACTGTTTTTATGTAAGCGTATATGTGTACACTTCTTATCCCATTCAATCATCATATCGTTTCACGGTTGGTTAAATCGAGTTGGCTAACACGCCTTCTTCATCGCGCGTCACTTTGATTCTTTTCTTTTATTGTTTGCATGGATCAACAATTGTATGAAATACGTGTATTCGAAATTCATTCTCGTATTTGACTTATTTATTTCCGTTATATACTAACATGAGTTAAGTCGATGATGATATACAAAGATTGACGATGTGTATATTTCAATAACAATCAACATAAGATCCAAATTAATTCAGATCTCCAGGCCACAAGGATTGACGATATGTATATTTCAATAACATTCATGCATACAATCGACCTAGAGTCAGATACAAGGCCACTAAAACAGCATATATGTACATAGGGTCATCATATGTAATTGGTTTATTAAATTAAATTTTAAGAAGAAAAAAAAAATTCTTGAAGTAAATGGATGTTTGTGAGAAAAAAAGTGGCTTACAAATTTGAAGAAACCTTGAAGGTTCACATGGATACATAAGAACAAAAGGATTCTATATTATATAATGAACTATAGCAATTTACGTGAGATTGAGTTTGTTCACATTTAGTTCGGTTAAGTCATTTTGTTAACATATTAACGAACTAAGTCATCCGTACAATAACAACAACATATCTATATCATTGTATCTTTATTATTGTTGTGAATAAATGAACATGT